ATTTTATGTGCAATAACGCCATGATCACATTTATCAAAAGCTTTTGCGAAATCTGTGTAAATTACATCAGTGTTTTGTTTGTCTTCCATAGCATCTAATGCCATATCATAGTGGTCCAGCAACTGTGACAGGCAAGAGCGCCCTGTTCTGAAACCGTGTTGTCCGGGGTTATGGAGATGCTGTGATTCCATGTATTTTGTGATCTTACTTCTTAGCACTCTCTCAAAATTTTTTATAATGTGCGATGTTAGTGCTATCGTTCTGTAATTTTTCGCCTCTGCCTTATTTCCTCCTTTATGAAGTGGTGCTATCTCTGATGTTTTTAGTATATCAGGAATAACGCCAGTATCTAGGCTTTGTCTCCACAGAATGTGGAGGGCCTGCGATAGTGGTTTTTTACAGTTCTTGATGAACATGGAGTTCCAAGAATCCGGGCCTGGTGCAGAGTGCAGAGGCATACTGTTTATGGCTTCTTCAAAATCTAGTGGGAATAGGGCGACGTCTGATATATGATTTGATGTTGGTATCATATCCATGAAAAATTCGTTTGGGTTATCAATCTTTAGTGCGTTTAATGGCTCACTGAAAACAGAGTCGTACTGCTTCCTCAGTAGCTCGCTCATTTCTTTGTTGTCATCGGTGAAAGTTCCATCTCCCTTTCGCAGGGGCCCGATACTAGATGTGGTTTTTTATCTTGATTTTGCATAGGAGAAAAAATATTTCGGATTTCTCTCTATTTCACTGATGGCCTTTTGCTCTCTTTGCCTCTCCAGGGTTTTGTATGATTCTTGTAGCTTGAGTTCAATTGTTTCTATTTCTCTACCTAACCTTCTTCGCCTGGTTGATACCTGGTTGATGGGGTTCTGGGAGTTCTTCTACTCCCCAAGCCCGGCCCGAGGCCAGGCTTGACTTGTGAGAGTTTGGTCCACCAGGTTGTTGCTTGGAGCGGCCCGGAGGCCCACATACCCACCACAGCCCGGTTGGTCCGGCACTCCTTGGAGGAATAAATCTAGTTTCCTCTTGAAAATGTCCACGGTTGTTCCGGCAATATTTCTTATGCTTGCTGGGAGGACGTTGAACAACCGCGGACCTCTGATGTTTATACAGTGTTCTCTGATTGTGCCTATGGCACCTCTGCTCTTCACTGGTTCTACTCTACATATAGAATACGCCGTTCTTGAGATAAGGTGCGACTCTCAAGTTGTTCCGCGATTCGTTTTCTTCGCTTATATAGGGAACGACGTTCCCGTTCCAATCTGCATCTCTTTCTCTTTTTTCTAAGGGGTATGCGGTTTGAACATATTTCTAGTGCTACTGAGCTTATTTTTTCCAGGCACTGGTTCAGGTTTGCATTTTCTAGCTGTTCTTCCCAGTTTATTTCTGTGAAGTCCTGGTTTATTTGCTCCCAGTTTATCTGTTTATTATTGAAGTTGAATTTGCTGAAATTGCTGCTGAAAGCTGGGGGAAGCTTTTCCGTGGGTGTGAGGACCTGTGAGGTGGATAACAGGGTCTCAGAGGATACTGGGATGAGGGGCGGGGGATCCAGTGAAGGGGGAGGGACATGGAGGGTATGGGATGAAAGGGGAGTGAAGGACAGGAAGGAATGGGTGGGAAGGGGGGACTCGGCGGGAGGAGGGGAGGGGTAGAAGAGTGAGGATTGGGTGTGGGGGGAGGGAGATTTGGCTAACATTTGAGTGGAGGGCAAGGAGGGTTTGGGTTAGGGGGGTTTTCTATGCAGAGGAAGGTGGCGGGGCTGTCCTCCCCTCTGGTGTTACTGGGTAGCTGGTTGTGGGTTCCCCCTTCGCATCTGGGGGTGTTGTGTTGGGAGCTGTGACTTCCTGGTTTTCTCCTCTCGCCCTTCGCCTATTTCTTGCTTCTGCCGCCACGGCTCTTTCCTCCCTCGTCATGTCTCTCTGGAGGAATACATTTTTGAATTCTCCCACGTTTTTCAGGGAGCTTTTCCTTGATAGAATCTTCTCCTTTGTGCTCTCGTTTGCAAACACTATCTTTATCACTCGGTCTCGGTCTTTGTCGTACCATCCTAGCCTGAAAAATTTCTCAATGCTATGCTCAGCCCCTTCCATGTCTTGTGCTTTCAGTACTTCATTCACTGCTGCTTTGTCCTTGTCATTCCTCTCTGTCCTATTGGAGCCGTCCTGATCTTTAATACCCACAGCAACCACTGATCTGTTCCTTTCCAGCAGTTAGCTAGTGGAGCGTGCCACCTTCTGTGAGGTGGCTGCTTTCATGGCCACCTCCATCACTGTAGACATTACTTCAGAGTTATTTTTTTAGCATTTCTGCAAATGTTGCTTTTATTGTGGCATTCTCATCCAAAAAACTATTACCACCTTCTCCCTGGATGATTTTCTGAGTCTTAGCCTCGATACCGTTCTCTTTAAGGGCTCTAATCTCGTTCTTTGCTGCTGTCAGCTCCCTTTTCAGGTTGCTTTTTTCGTTCTTCCTTTCCTGTATCATTTCTTGCATCTCACTCTTGATGTCCTCCAGAAACTGGGCAAACATTTCTTTCATTTCGTCACCTTGACTTTTCCCTGTTTCCCTGGTACCTCTAGCTGTCATGCTTGCCCCTGTTCCTATAGTTGTGCCATGATAGGATTTGTCAGGAGGGCAGAGCGGGATGGGGGAGGGAGGGAGAGAGAGAGAGAGAGACAAGGAAAGAGATAGATAAAGGGAGAGATAAATTGGTGGGTGGGGGCGATCCGACCCTTCCACTGAAGTGAGAAGAAAGTAGAGTGGGAGGGGGGGGAAGATGGAGAGAGAGAGGAGGGAGAGAGAGGAGAGGGAGTGAGATGGAGAAGGGAGTGGGTGAGGGAGAGAGGGGGGGAGGTGTGTGTGTGTGTGTGTGTGTGTGTACTCACCTAATTGTACTCACCTAATTGTACTCACCTAATTGTGCTTGCGGGGGTTGAGCTCTGGCTCTTTGGTCCCGCCTCTCAACCGTCAATCAACTGGTGTACAGATTCCTGAGCCTACTGGGCTCTATCATATCTACATTTGAAACTGTGTATGGAGTCAGCCTCCACCACATCACTTCCTAGTGCATTCCATTTACTAACTACTCTGACACTGAAAAAGTTCTTTCTAACGTCTCTGTGGCTCATTTGGGTACTCAGCTTCCACCTGTGTCCCCTTGTTCGCGTCCCACCAGTGTTGAATAGTTCATCGTTGTTTTCCCGGTCGATTCCCCTGAGGATTTTGTAGGTTGTGATCATGTCCCTCCTTACTCTTCTGTCTTCCAGTGCCGTAAGGTGCATTTTCTGCAGCCTTTCCTCATAACTCATGCCTCTTAGTTCTGGGACTAGTCTAGTAGCATACCTTTGGACTTTTTCCAGCTTCATCTTGTGCTTGACAAGGTACGGGCTCCATGCTGGGGCCGCATACTCCAGGATTGGTCTTGCATATGTGGTGTACAAGACTCTGAATGATTCCTTACACAGGTTCCGGAACGCCGTTCTGATGTTAGCCAGCCTCGCATATGCCGCAGATGTTATTCTCTTTATGTGGGCTTCAGGAGACAGGTTTGGTGTGATATCAACTCCTAGATCTTTCTCTCTGTCTGTTTCATTAAGTACTTCATCTCCTATCCTGTATCCTGTGTCTGGCCTCCTGTTTCCACTGCCTAGTTTCATTACTTTGCATTTACTCGGGTTGAACTTCAACAGCCATTTGTTGGACCATTCACTGAGTCTATCCAGGTCATCTTGTAGCCTCCTACTATCATCCTCTGTTTCAATCCTCCTCATAATTTTTGCATCGTCGGCAAACATTGAGGGGAACGAATCTATACCCTCTGGGATATCATTTACATATACCAGAAACAGTATAGGGCCAAGGACTGACCCCTGCAGGACTCCACTTGTGACATCTCGCCAATCTGAGACCTCACACCTCACACAGACTCGTTGTCTCCTGTTGCTTAGGTACTCCTCTATCCACCGGAGTACCTTCCCTTTCACTCCAGCCTGCATCTCCAACTTTCGCACTAGCCTCTTGTGTGGCACTGTATCAAAGGCTTTCTGACAATCCAAAAATATGCAGTCTGCCCACCCTTCTCTTTCTTGCCTTATTTTTGTTGTGTGTGTGTGTGTGTGTGTGTGTGTGTGTGTGTGTGTGTGTACTCTCCTAGTTGTACTCACCTAGTTGTGCTTGCGGGGGTTGAGCTCTGGCTCTTTGGTCCCGCCTCTGAACTGTAAATCAACAGGTGTACAGATTCCTGAGCCTATTGGGCTCTATCATATCTACACTTGAAACTGTGTATGGAGTCAACCTCCACCACATCACTTCCTAATGCATTCCATTTGTCAACCACTCTGACACTAAGAGAGTTCTTTCTATTGTCTCTGTGGCTCATTTGGGCACTCAGTTTCCACCTGTGTCCCCTTGTGCGTGTGCCCCTTGTGTTAAATAGCCTGTCATTATCTACCCCTATTAATTCCCTTCAGAATCTTGAATGTGGTGATCATGTCCCCCATAACTCTTCTGTCTTCCAGCGAAGTGAGGTTTAATTCCCGTAGTCTCTTCTCGTAGCTCATACCTCTCAGCTCGGGTACTAGTCTGGTGGCAAACCTTTGAACCTTTTTCAGTTTAGTCTTTCTAAGCAAACCAACACACACACAACACTGTGTGTGTGTGTGTGTGCATGTGTGTATACAACAGAGAAAACTCTTATTGCCGCCATTACAGCTTCTCACACAACTCTGCTCAGTAAAGTTTGTTGATATACAACAGCTGGTGCAGATGTCGCCCCCACCGACACCACCGTTTCTTGAATACATTTGTGTGGAAACTTCGCCTTTTGTTCCGTGTGATTTTCTTTGGGTTTTTCAATTGTGGTCTGTGAGGGATAGGGATCGTTTGTGCATGACATAAATGGGCTTGAATGGGAACTAAATATGTTTAAAAGTAATGAATGAATGTTTATATAATGAGGGAGTTTGTGCACGTAATAAATGAGTTTGTGCATCATCCTGATCGTCACCCTAATCATTTCGAATATCACAATTACGCTCCTCATCATTAATGTCTTCGTCAGTCTCGCTGTCATCATCAGCATCGTTATCCGACTCTTTATCACTCTTAATATTACAGTCCTCATCATTCTCATCATTACCATCCTCATAATTATCAACCTCCTCATCGTCATCAACATCCTAATCATTACATCCTCGTCATTCCTATCATTTGCATTGTTATCCACATTACTGTCATTCTCACCATTCTCACCCTCACCATTCTCACCCTCATCAGTTCATTGTAAACTACATTATCCCATAAGCCTCCATAAAAGTACAAACCACCGCTTTGTGCTTTCTTACAAGAGTAAATATCTTTCCGTGAGATTTTGCTTAGAAAACAACAAATATAAAAGTTTTATAATAAATTGATTATTTCTTATCATTTCCTTTACAGCTTCTCATGCACTGCTCACACTAAATTCCATGTCCCTCATACTTTCCCTCATTGTGTGTGTTGGTCCATTTTATCCACGCACTCATTCATCGTGCCGGTCGATCTTCCTTACACTCTCACTCACCGGGTGAGTCCAGCACTTTTACTCATGCTCAGTGTCAGCTTAAATTCCTTACACACTGTGTTTTTTCATTTCCTCTCACTTCCTCTTAACTTAGAATTCTAAATAAGACAAATATATCAATATGTATCAATACATGTGGATGGATTCGAAGTGGATGTATTTCTACCACTTTTCCGGATATGACAATCTCTGGTAGAGATTGGCTCTACCAGAATCTCTTTTATGAAGGTCTCGAACTACTCCTGTCTAATTATTTTCACTTTTCGGGGCATTTTGAAGTCCGTGCTCTCCTCCTCAAAGTGGCTACCAATGTATTAATTATGTTGATGGGTAAACGGGTATCATTGGGTCATTCACTTTGCATATTAAGAACTCAGTCGTAGTGACTTGTATTTACTCGTTCCGTTGTGCAGGTGTTCATCTCGAACACTTGTGTCACCTTTTATTGACCTCTGGTCCAGTGTCATACATTATGGTTCTAACCATCTGTATTCATCATCCGTTTTTAATGCTATATTTCCAAGTTTCCTTAAAAGCAATATTTCATGGAAGTTAATTCAAGTAAACGAATTTGACCCGGTCTTCGGCCAGTGAAGGATATTCATCCCCCTCCACAGTTCTTCAGACTATAATAGGATCTGTCAGATGGTCTGGCCTCTCCTGCTGACAAATGATATACAGCTTCCCGTTTCTCTCGGTTAAAACCTTTGACGTTGATGTACCAGAGTGCTCTGGGGCAACGAAATGTAAACATGTCAATATATTAATTTTAACTTTACAACAATACAGTGAAACTATTATTGTAATACTTGACCATCTTCAGCTATTACTACTGGTATTAAATACATATCTATAAGAGAGCATATATTCCTTTCCTTATATCTCTCCCTAATCATCCGTTTCTCTTCGCTTTCTTTCTACAAATAAAAAAAAAATATGAATTGCTGAAAAGCTAATTAAAACTCTGCTGAAAACAAATTCCCTATTTCAGACTTTATGAAAATGGCAGCGATCGCTATCTGAGCCGATATTTCTTAAAGGGTGGCAATGAGGCTGATCCCCAACAGGATTATGGCACTCCCAGGCCTCCCATGTATCATCTTGAACAGTTGGGTGAGACTAACCGCAAGCATCGGGCCTCCTAATTTGGACAGACATTCTCTTATATATATATATATATATATATATATATATATATATATAAATACAAATATATAATTCCATAATACAAAATCATATATATTTTTACTATGATGCCTTTTTACCGCCCATGGAAGACAGACATAAACTTTTGAGATATCAAGACATGCCTTCAACGATCACTAAAACATAAGATGTGCACTTCAACACAATCATCGGCATCATCAATAAAGCAGTGCGTGAAGACCTGGACCTCAGGCTCCTGAGGTCACTGATAGGTTAGCACAAATAAGTACCACAACAACCACCATCTCCCACTCATCACCATCACCACCTTTACGCACACTCACCACCACCACTAACGCCAACACCACCAACCTCCAACCCGCATCACTTACGCCTTCCATCCTCCACCATCACCCATAACCACCACTACCACCAACCACCACAGCCACCACCATCACCGCCACCACCACCACTAACCACAAACGCCACCTACCACCACCGCCACCTCTACCACCGCCACCAACAACATATTCCCAACGCCTCGGCTAAAGCTTCCCCCAAGCAACAAACAATTCATACTAAATCTTTTGCAAGTGATAACAAGAGCGTCGCTTAATCGAGAAAACGAAGTGTTTACAAATCACAGGAACAACGTGGATGAAGCAGTAACATCACCAACAGAGGAGCTCCAGCACACGGCTCACACAGCCACGACAGGATGGAATACACTCTCCAGTGATGTATTTGCGCCTTTTAACGAGGCGCGAATATTCAGAAGGTCGGTAGTGGCGCGTTACTTTCATGCTGCTGACAGTTGACGATTGTTGAGATGGGCTGCTGAAGAGACGGGCTGCTGAAGAGACGGGCTGATGAAGAGACGGGCTGATGAAGAGACGGGCTACTGAAGAGATGGGCTGCAGAAGAGATGGACTGCTGAAGAGACGGGCTGCTGAAGAGATGGGCTGCAGAAGAGACGGGCTGCTGAAGAGACGGGCTGAAGAAGAGATGGGCTGCAGAAGAGACGGGCTGCTGAAGAGACGGGCTGCAGAAGAGACGGGCTGCTGAAGAGATGGGCTGAAGAAGAGACGGGCTGCTGAAGAGATGGGCTGAAGAAGAGATGGGCTGCTGAAGAGACGGGCTGCTGAAGAGACGGGCTGCAGAAGAGACGGGCTGATGAAGAGACGGGCTGATGAAGAGACGGGCTGATGAAGAGACGGGCTGCTGAAGAGACGGGCTGCTGAAGAGACGGGCTGCTGAAGAGACGGGCTGCTGAAGAGACGGGCTGATGAAGAGACGGGCTGATGAAGAGACGGGCTGATGAAGAGACGGGCTGATGAAGAGACGGGCTGCTGAAGAGACGGGCTGCTGAAGAGACGGGCTGATGAAGAGACGGGCTGCTGAAGAGACGGGCTGCTGAAGAGACGGGCTGCTGAAGAGACGGGCTGCTGAAGAGACGGGCTGATGAAGAGACGGGCTGATGAAGAGACGGGCTGCTGAAGAGACGGGCTGCTGAAGAGACAGGCTGCTGAAGAGACGGGCTGCTGAAGAGACGGGCTGCTGAAGAGACGGGCTGCTGAAGAGACGGGCTGCTGAAGAGACGGACTGCTGAAGAGACGGACTGCTGAAGAGACGGGCTGCTGAAGAGACGGGCTGCTGAAGAGACGGGCTGCTGAAGAGACGGGCTGCTGAAGAGACGGGCTGCTGAAGAGACGGGCTGCTGAAGAGACGGGCTGCTGAAGAGACGGGCTGCTGAAGAGACGGGCTGCTGAAGAGACGGACTGCTGAAGAGACGGGCTGCTGAAGAGACGGGCTGCTGAAGAGACGGGCTGCTGAAGAGACGGGCTGCTGAAGAGACGGGCTGAAGATATACACTGCTGAACAGATGGGCATGCTGACGGAGACTATGGAAAGCATTTTGGGAAACCAGAGGAGCCGAACACGAGATGATTTGAGACACACTCAGAGGCTGCAAGAAGACGATGAAAGAAGAATATGAAAGAGACAGGTGGATAGACGATGAGAGACAAGAGCAATGATTTAAAACGAGATTTAAAGACGAAGATGACTGATGGTTCCTGTTGAGTGACGAGAAAAAGACACAAATCTTTTTGCTTTACAAATAAAAGAAAATCATTTTAAGTTTACAGTGATTCGTAATAAAATAATCGCCCATTTGGAGCAGAAAGCATTTTAATGCGATATCGGGAGGGTGTACTCGAAGCCCAGAGGCTCCCGTCACTATCGGGAGGTGGGTACCTGCCTGGAGACACCTGCCACCACCAGGAGGTAGGTTTCAGTGGCCTGGAGGTAGGTACCGGTGGTCTGGAGGCACCTGCCACCGTCAGGAGGTAGGTACCGGTGGCCTGGAGGCTCCTGCCACCGTCAGGAGGTAGGTACCGGTGGCCTGGAGGCACCTGCCACCGTCAGGAGGTAGGTACCGGTGGTCTGGAGGCACCTGCCACCGTCAGGAGGTAGGTACCGGTGGTCTGGAGGCACCTGCCACCGTCAGGAGGTAGGTACCGGTGGTCTGGAGGCTCCTGCCATTGTCAAGGAGGTAAGTACCTGGCGCCTGGAGGCACCTGCCACCGTCAGGAGGTAGGTACCGGTGGGCCTGGAGGCACCTGCCACTGTCAAGAGGCAGGTACCGGTGGCCTGGAGGCACCTGCCGCCTTCAACCCCTCGGAGCACCTCGGAAAGCAATCTACCATAAGTGACCTTAAATGACCACGAAAACATACCGCGGCGTGAACTCAGACGTTCCCATTACCCCGGAGAGCTGCACTTCTCCTCCACGTGCCTTCACACTTGCTTCTTCCCTCCCACATTCAATCACTCACTCCCATGTTCCCCCCATCCCACTCCTTTCCACCACCTTTTCCTCTCTAAAATCCCTCATTTATTTCCTCCCACGGTCGATCATCCCATCACGTCCTCTCTCACCATCCATCTCTCTCTCTTTCCCCCTCCCATGTTTGCTCATTTTCTCCTCCCATGTTCACTCTCAATCGTTCCTCACCGTCAGTAGCCAGACAGCGTGGGGGGGGAACAGCTGACGTTTGCTTTATTACAGTTTTCTCCTTTCTCCTTTTTTATTTTTTTTGTCAATAATCTTTATCTCCTCATTCAATGTTTTGGTGAGCTGGCAACGCAGTCTTAAATACACTGTTTTTATTTATAATGAATTAATTATAATGTTTATTTAATATTTATACTTATTTATATTACTGGTGCTATTCAGAATTTTTAGAATTAGTTGTAGGAATAGTAATGGTAGAAACAGCAGAAGCAGTAGTAGAAGAAATAGAAATTCAGTAGTAGTAGTAGTAGTAGTAGTAGTAGTAGTAATAATAATAGAAGTAGAAGTAGTAGGAGTAATAATGGAGATACTCTGGGATTTTCATTCAATTATGTATTGTTACGGTGCCCTCTCCTATTTCTCCCGTATGCCTGCTTTGAGAGTCATATCAGCTTTCTTTACTGATTCTCTGAGATGCAGGGAATCTTTTGGTATATGTGGCGACCAGAGCAGCCGCCTGATAAGGGAAAAATTTACATAAGTTCGTCGATAAGGGGAAAGTAGCGCCCTGATACAAACGAAATGGTACCCCCTACCTGCAGATCCGCTATTTTGTGGAGGACGCCAGCCGAGTGCGGATTGGCTAAATTAGGTCACGGGCGACCAATCAGAGCCCGCCGTGACGTCACCCAGTGCCCCTGGTGACGCCAGCTGTGTTAGTGTCAGCCTTGGTCTGGCTGCGAGAGCGGGAGGACGTTTCTTGGTCAGCTCTCGAGGTTTGGAGGCTCTTGGATCCTTACTCAGTGGATTTAAACTAGCCATCGCAGCCCACCATTGTTATTGAAGACCCTGTTCTTCCAGGGAAGCAAGAAGCAACCAAGTTCATTGAGGAGAGAAGTGCCAAAACTTGAAGAATCGGTCGGCGACTACGCTGGAAGGGCGCCGCCTGACACTTTAGGGTCTGGAAGGTGTGGTGGACAGGCCTAGCTGTGACCGGGTCACGTTCACTGAGGATTTTGGAGGGATGACACCGTTCCTAGGACAAGGCGCAACGAATACTAGGAGCCTCGTAGCCTGATGGATAACGCGCAGGACTCGTAATTCTGTGGCGCGGGTTCGATTCCCGCACGAGGCAGAAACAAATGGGCCTTGTGGAAGGGACGAGTGTGCGCTTTCAGTGATTAGCTCAATGCTCACTGGTGAGCCAGGATTGGGATATCTGAAACTCTGGGAGTTTTTCGGCGACGTTGCAAAGGCTTCACGACACCTGAGGACTTGTGGAACGTTCCTGGATCGTCAAGGACTGACTCAGGAAGCGTGGGAACCTCACACCATCGAGGGACAGGCGTCGTGAGCCAGGAATGTAAAGGTAGATCAATTTTCCTCCCATTACCCCTTGTTTTATTAGGCTAGATAGGTCATTATGTTCATATATGTGTGTTATATACATTGATACACCAGTAGTAGGATAGGCTGCAGGGCAGCTTGTGTCCAGGACTGTGGAAGAGGACAGTGTGTTTGGAGGACCGGGCAGTTGCAGAGAGGGTAGCCGACGTCGACGAAGAGGCCCCTATGTGAGAGAGTGTGTGGCCCCTTTTAATCTTCCCAGTTGAAGGAGTTGTTGGAGGTCGTGAGAGAAGAGTTGCTGATGATCTCCAGACTGTTGATTCTTATTTTTTTAATTCCTTTAGTGATTTTAATTCTATATGTGATCATGTAGCTTACGTCAGTAAATTCACATATTCTATCATTGTGTTTAAGTGTGCCTCAATAATAATCTCTATGAGCATACACGAGGGATATCATAGTCCCATCTAGGGAATATCACGTTTTCTATAGAAGTTCTTAGTGTCTGGAGAGTGGTAAAACAGCACAAACTTATATAAAAGTGTACCCTAGGCCATCCAACCAGTATCAGATCCGGAGTGGTGGCAACAAGCAATGTAGTGGCTCAGGAGAGGTAAAGCCACACAGGCTTTTATGGGAGAGTACCTTGGGCTGACAGTCCAGTGTCAGATCTATAGGAGTAGCAACACTTTGACAACAAGTAGTATAAAATACACCCACTGAACTGCATTGCTGGGGTGCAGATATATCAGCCCAGCTGGCGACCTTGTTAAAAGAAGATAGGAGGGAAAGGCGGGAAAGGAATTCCTGCAACCTTTTTGTCTGGTAAGCAAGACTCAGGGGAAGTGTTGTTAAAAGGTAAGCCTGGGTTTTCCTTCACTCCTTCACGGGTCTAGGCAGGAATTGCTAACAGCAGTTTCCCCGTGGTTGACTGAAGGGCTCTCAGGGTGAATCAGTGGCACCCCCTGTGGTGGGAGCAAAGACCTGCGGGGTGGGTATTACTGGTCCTCTCCTGTGGGACCAAGCGACTGTGGTGAGTCCCGAGAGTCGGAAGGGCTGAGTACTCTGCCTTCTGAACCCCTAGCAGCCGAGTGCTAGCAGAGCCCCATACCATCCCTCCCTCCCCCCAAGACTGTATCATCAATTTAAGCGAACAAGAAAAATTACTTCCATACAAATGTAGAATTCAGAATATAATTGTATTTTCTTTATAAGTGTATTTTTTGGCCATGTGTGATCTTGTGAAGTGATATACTCCAAAAAGTACAACAAAAATAAAGAATTCCTGTGCTGACGCACGAGAAATCTTTCTTCCTCAATGTTCACACTCACACGACTGTCTGTTATGTGGTAAAACACAAGAGTCAGCCTTTTATATGTTCACACGCAAGAGTCTACATCTTGAATGTTCACACGCAAGAGTCTACATCTTGCATGTTCACACGCAAGAGTCTACATCTTGCATGTTCACACGCAAGAGTCTACATCTTGCATGTTCACACGCAAGAGTCTACATCTTGCATGTTCACACGCAAGAGTCTACATCTTGCATGTTCACACGCAAGAGTCTACATCTTGCATGGTCACACGCAAGAGTCTACATCTTGCATGTTCACACGCAAGAGTCTACATCTTGCATGTTCACAC